GTTAGGCCGTGGGCGGTCGCCTTTGCCGAGGCCAGGGCGGCCAGACGGGCTTCGTCAGCGGGCCGTGCTGGAGGCGTGAGGAGCCGGAGTCCTCGCTGTAGCCAGAGCCCTTTGTTCAGCGTTTTAAGGTGTCTGCTCTGCTGGCAATGGCTGCTTGCTCAGCAAACGCACCGACCTGGACAGGGCTTCTTGGGTCAAGTGCTAAAGACAAACCCCAAAAGGAAAAAGTAGTGGAGAGAAAGGTGACCGTACGTGTATGAATATGACACACACCTGCGTGTCTCGTTCGAGGACTTCAGCCGATACCAACAGTCTGTCCTGTCAGTGCTGGGCCAAACCCCGTGTGCTGTCCCCTGCCTCACAGTGGGCCCTGTGCCCCTGTTGCAGTACAGCTTTTGGGGGGCAGTCCAGTACGACTGTAATACTGTGGATGTACTTCTAGTGTAACATAGGTAACGCAGCCCTTTAACTAAAGATTTCTTCTGCTTTTATTGAAATTGCAGATGGATTATGCAGCAGAGTTAAGGAAGTAGGAAAGTGAAATGAGACAACTGAGCTTCAGGATATGGGTAAGGGTTTCACAATAATGGGGAGAAATAGTCCAGTCAGCGAAGTATGAAGTGGAGGATCAAGGAAGACCTGATAAATCAGTCTTTGGTAGATCTGATGAGCTACCAGCATTAAATAAGCTTGCAAAATAATAACTTCCTAGCCTTTTCTAAAACATCTAACTAAACCAGAATGTATCTGTTGAGTAAGTACAGAAGTTACTAAGGTGAACATTTCAAAAACATTAATTGGAAAGTAGCTTTGTGCAAGACCTCTTATTAGAGCAAAACAATACCTAATGCATCAGAAAAACTGGCAGAGCTGTTAGTAGCTGTTAGTAGGATTTGTAATTGTAGGGGGGGAAAGGTGTATTTTATGACTGATAATGTTAATATTGTGGTAGTCATATTTTGGTCTTGGTAGTGTTAAAACAACACTTTATAGTTTGTCAGGAAGTATAGCAGACTTGCACTAAAAAAACTGAATAGGCAGTCTGTAATTTGATGCGATGGCTCACGATAGCCTACAATATTAAAATATTTAAGTAGGCTTTCACTCCCAAAGAAGATATAAACTCTTTGAGAGCTATCATAAGATACAGTTATTAAATATTTATGTGCATACCTGAAGCTGACCTCTACTTCATTTACTGTATCAACATGCACTTCTGCTTATGAGCAACATATTAACAATAACTGAAATAGAACTGGCTTCTGACTCAGAAGCAGCTCCCGGAACTGCACTGATAGAAGCATTAAGCAGTGGAGGAAGGTCTGGCATCTTCTTGACTGCCAGCTTATCCATCTCAGCTGCTGTATCAGCTGCTCTTTCACCTCTCAACGCAGTTCTGCCAGCAAGTCTGATGGTTTTACTTTAGTAATTCTGTAATGTTGCTGTATTGTCTGAGCCGTTGTACTTTTGTTCTAAGGCACCAGAAGATAACTGTGTGCTATGTTCCTTATCAGATAAAACATACTTGCTTTTGTGGGAGAGGTGACAATTAGCCTGTCACAACATTAGGTATCTGATTTACTACTCTGGTGCTGCTAACTGATTTCATTAGAGATTAAATGATGTAACTAAAAAAGAAACAGAACTGTGTTTTGTTTTTTAATTTTAAAACAGATGTTTCTTTAATTTTGCATCCTTCCAGTGCTTGTCTCCATTGATTCACTGTAGGGATTATCTGTTTTCCTAACAAACTCTACTAGATAATCCCACAGAATACTATCACCGTACCATGGAAATGGTTTTAGTAACATCCTCTAAAAAGCTACGTCAAATTATGTTGTGTGATTATTCAAGGTACTGTATGGGTTATCATTTTCTTTTAGAGCAAATTAAGAGCTAGAAAGAATCCTTGGTCACTAGGGGAATCATTGGTCAAACCAAGAATTTCTTCATTTTGGGATTATTAAAAAAGCATTCTTCCCTGTTTTAAAATAAATACATCCAAGCAAAACCTCATCAGAAGTTTCTAGTGTTTTCTAGGATTTTGCAGAACACTGTCCTATTTTCAACATTTTTTTTTCAGTGTTCTGATTTAACTACAAATTATTAGAACATTGGAAAGGTCAGCAACACCCTAAAGGTGATGTAAGTCCTCAAATACTGCTTCAACAGCACAAAATTTAAAGATAGTTTCACTGAATTTATGAACTGTGGTTTGGTTTTTCAGGTTTGTACACAGGAAAACCTTGCCCATCTATGAAAAATATTAAGATTTCATTTAACTGCTGACTGAAACATACAGCATAAAGTAGTTCAAAACTGTTATCATTTGCTGCTCTGTGCTTGCCATTACCTTACAGGCAATCCTCTCTCCAGAACAAATAATGGCCTTTCTATTGTAAAGCACTATCAATGTCAAAGGCTTGGTATGAATAACCAAGGTCTCTGTTTTAACAATAAATAGAACTTCCTCTAAGATGAATATGGTGTTTTAATCACATGATTAACATGAAGTCAGCTGATTTCTTTTTT